GAAGTCCCATGCCTAGTAGTAATTAATAATAATAATAATAATAATAATAATAGCTCAAGTTTGGATCTGAAAGATTTGAAAGGAATACACAGTTTGGATGCTTTTTCTGATGGCAGATTCTCTAAAGATAGGATGCTTTGCTTTCCCATTCAAGATACTTGTAAGGTACAGGGAAATATGAGGTAGTACATATATTACTAGACAAGCTGTTTTATGCTGGATTCTTCCAGTATAGCAGGCTATTCTGCTAAGGAACAAAGCTTTGGTACAGACTAAGCGTATTGATTTTAGCCTCTAAATTAAAACAAATTTCGGAGGACAAGCTTAACCACTTGGCCGAAGTCCCTCAGTAGGAGCATCTGTGCTGTTGCATTCTATTGATGTTCCATTACATGGTGTGTGTCTTGCTACGCATGGCAGAAAGGCAAGAGGAAGATGCCAGGTCTTGGAAACTACCTTTCCACACAAAATTTTAAAATGTTTATACGCTTAAAGGTTTGCAATATGTTTGATTTCAGTAGGAGGGATTAAAGTTGAGAGAGAAGAAAGCTTCAAACACATCCCAAAGTCTTGATTTCACTTGAATACATTTTGCACTGTAAAAAGGCTGCTTATATTTAGAGTATTTGTTGTGATTATCATCTATTTCTTTCTCTCTCTCTCTCTCTCTCTCTCTCTCTCTCTCACACACACACACACACAGAGAGAGAGAGAGAGAGAGAGACCGCACAACTATTTGTGTTTAGAAGGACCATTTTAATAACTTTAGAGTCGCAATTCACACATCAGTATTCATCTCCTTGCTCTAAAGAGCTCAATGTGACATGCCTGCTTCTTCTCCTATTTTATCTTCACAACAAACCTATGAGGTAGGCTAGGTTGGTTAGAGTGAGGGACAGTGACTGGCCATAGGACTTGTAAAAGTTCATAAGATTCTCTTTGAGTAACATACATTGATGGATGCTTTGTTTCCACCCTAAACATTCCATTAGAAGGAATACCACAGCCTATTCTTCTTGCATCAGAACTGGACCTATGTTGCTTCAGGATTTTGGATTCTGTGAGATTCATATTTGATACTGAGTTTTAATCTGTAAATTTTCTAGAGATGCCTTAGGAATTTGGGGAGGGAGAACCAGTTTTCCAGCGATCTAGGGCTGATGGGAGCTATATGGAGAAGAAATACAATTTTTGTTTTCATTTTAATGAGAAACTACCAAATTCAGGGTTTTGAACCAATACTTGAACAAAAACACAATTTGCAGTTTTCAGAATCTTGCAGTGCAAGTCTTCAGTGCACATAAATGCATTATATTACTGAAAAGTGTGCTTAAAATGTATATTTTAGTGACAATAACAAAATATGGATTAGATTGGGGAAATTGCTTGCAAAAAATGTATGTGCTATAGAGAAGCATTAAAAAATGTATTAAGGTAAGGGCATTTTGAGGTGTTTTTTATTTGTTCTTTTCGTATAAGGCCTCCAGCAACATTGTTCTCTAGGTGTCTTACAAACATAACATGATAAAGCACAACTGAAATATCATAAAAGAACAATGCAGTCTAAAAACTGTCAGCTGAGAGAAGAGTAAACCAACAGAACTAATCAGTAAAACCACACACTTCAAAAAGTCCTGGGAGAAATTTTCTTCAAAAAGAAGGCACTAGACTTCTTGGGGATGGGGTGCTTTCTGAAACTGGGGGGTCACCATCAAGAAGTCACTGCCCCTGGATGCTTCACTTTAGTTGGTGGGGACAGCCAGAAAAACGGTATCTGAAGCCCAACTCAGAGCTTAGGTAGACGTATGCAGGAGAAGGTAATACTTCAGATATCCCGCTTTCAAGCTCTTAAAGTATTTTACCTGGCACTGTGTTTGGATGATCAAGTCTTAGCTGAATAAGCTAAGATATGACTGAGCTTCATATAGCCACCTGCAGTTGCTCCATGACTTCTGGAAGAAGCCAGGAAGCCTGTTGCGTCAAAACCAAGAAAATATCCTTAATGGCTTAAAAGACAAGCCAGGAAATAAAATTATGGAGTGAAGCAGCTGCATTTGGAGCAGGGGGTTCATTCAGCTCTCACTTATTAAGCAATATTTGACTGAATGCAGTACAGATCAGGCAAGCCTCCTTAGGAAAAGCATACAAGCCAGGTGCCACAACTGAGAAGGTCCTCTCCCCACTCATCTCCGACAGTGGGGTCAGAGACTCCAAGGATGTTCTCAACACACAGGGAGGCTGATGTGCTCCTGTTGTAATGACTGCATCTGTCACTTGCCAACATAAGGGCAATAAGCCATCCCTAGCCCAACAAGGATTTCCCCGAGATACAACCCTATGCACCTAAGGAAGTTATTCTTGGAAGAAAAGCTCTTCCAGAAAAAAGCGCATCACTGAGCCAGCTAACAACTGCTGATTTCATTCATTCCTGCACCTGTGATTCAGATCCCCTTTGATAACAATGACAGGTTGCTTTGCTTTCTTTCTTGCTCGCTTGCTTTCTAAATAAAAGGACAATGCTATGCAGTTGGGAATGAGGAATGCATTGGACGCTCCACTTTGATCACTTTGAAAATGCTGTCATTGTTCACACATTTTTTGGCAGGTCTTTTCATGTCTCCATGATCACCAGAAGGATGGGGAGAGGTACCCGTAAGGAAAATGCAATAAACAACTGATAAGATATTGCACTAGAGGTTAGAGATTACCTTAGATATAGGGTAATACCGAGGATAATTGCTAGATATTTTTAGGATGATTGGCACAGAGGCATCTGTTCTTCAGCCACACAGTTTAAAACAAAGCTGCTGCTGTGCTCTGAAGTGCAATGTTCTGTTCAAAAGGCACAGTTTGTGTGGAGTTCAGCTAATATCCACCTGTATGAGATAGGCGGTGAGCAAATGACACAGCAGCCCAAGGGTGATTATTGTTACTAGTCATGTATATAGTACTTCTGAGCACTCTGCTGTATTTCCCACAATGCTTCTGTTGTCATGGGAACTGAAGCTGAAAGATGGAGGCCTGGTGTTGGCTGTTTAGGACTGGAAGGAATTTGAACCCAAGTTTTCCATATCCAATTTTATTATTTTTATCTCCATGTGTGTTGTCTCCTGTTCCTGGTGACCTTTAAATTATTAACTGTGAGAGTGTGTGATTGTTTACATGTTTGCAAGACATTTTTAACTTTAAAAAAAATTCATTTTTTATAGTATTGTTTTATTATTTTTCTGCTCCTTTGAGAGGGAATGCAGGATATAAATTTAATAAGTACCAACAGACACAAGTGATGGCAGGAATTATTTCTGATGCTGCATATTTGAGACACTACCTTGTTTTACTTTCTGTGACTGGAATTTGTGTGCTGGAATTACTTTGCTGCTTTTATTGTTCTGTGACTATTATATTTTCATATTTCATATATTTGTTTGTTTGCTTGCTTGCTTGCTTGCTTATAAGAGTATTTACAAACTGCCAACTCATAGGGGGGAAGTATCACGGCAGTGTACAATAAAATCGTTGGAACATCATAAAATATATAAAATCCAATATAAAATCCAAAAATGCTGAACCAGGACTGAATCAAATTAGTTCCCTAACAATGGATGATAAAACAAAAAACAAAAAAATGGTTTGGTATTATTTGTAAGCTGCCAGATAACACTGTTATTGAGTAGCATTTTATTGTTGTTGGGGGGGATGATTTGTACTTTTGACTGAAACAGTAAAAAAGGAGGATATTTGAGAAACAAAAACTGTTAATGTATAGCGCATACAAAATCTACCTACCTACCTACCTACCTACCTATCCATGATGATAGATAGATGATAGATAGATAGATGATAGATAGATAGATGATAGATAGATAGATAGATGATAGATAGATAGATAGATAGATAGATAGATAGATAGATAGATAGATAGATAGATAGATGATAGATAGATAGATGATAGATAGATAGATAGATAGATAGATAGATAGATAGATAGATGATAGATAGATAGATAGATAGATGATAGATAGATAGATAGATAGATAGATAGATAGATAGATAGATGATAGATAGATAGATAGATAGATATAGATAGATAGATAGATAGATAGATAGATAGATAGATGATAGATAGACAGACATACTAAAATTTGGCACAGAATTCAGCATTTTTAAAATTTGGTCCTTTAAAAAAACAAAACAAAACCCTAAAGTTTCTAATCCTTAGGATTCAGAAGATGGACCTGAAAGTGTTTGGGAAGCATCTGGTGAATCTCTATAGCTAAGGAAGGGGCAGTTGATCTAGATCATCAGTGGTCCAGGTGTGGAATTTCTTGGTCCAATAGTGTTTTGCTCTTGCTCATCACAGCAAAAGCCTTTCCTTTTTTTTACTGAGAAGCAAATCCCACTGATTTCAATGGGACTTGCCCTCTAGTAAGCAAGCACAATGGGCACCAGAATGATTAGCTCAAAAAAATTAATGTAAGATTTATTTATCAGAATCGAGGAAATTGGGGTTTCTCAAATCAAAACTTGACTCCCCCCCCGCCAGTACAGAAAATACATGGAAAAGGAGGTGCATGCCCACCCCTTGTTTTTAAACCTACAACCCTTGTGACATTTCTGGGTTAAAGTGGTCCTAATACCATTATGAATTCTGTGAGACCTAGCCTGTCTTACAATTCTCCTCTCCTCCTTCCGCACCCCTGAATCCTTCATGTCTGTCTTTTTGATGGTCGGGAAATCACTCTTCAAACTTTTTTCTAAACCCCCCCCCCCATTTCTCTGTGATTTTATTTTCACAGCTTTGGCTGCAGATGTCAAAAAGCAGCCAGTGGCATTTCCACTCCTGGATTTAATTTGGCCAGGTTTATAAAGGAGGTGGCCCAACTGTACAATGACAGATTATGCAAATCCTCCAGGAGCAGCTAATCAATCACTAGGGTGTGAGCGGAATGCAGCTGATCTCTGAATTAGCTTCTGCTGGAATGTGTTTGTGTGTAACCCCACACTGTCTGAATGACATCACAACAGCTTCTAGTCCTTGAAAACCTTGAGGATGATTAGCTGAAGGAATTGGCTGCTTCTGCCAATCATAATCCTCCAAAGCCGCCTTTATAGTTCTGTAGACATGAGCGGAGAGGGAGGGAGAAAGAGAAGAGCACAGCTAGGAAAGAGGCAGAGTAGCAGCAGCAGCAGCAGCAGCAGCAGCTGGTATTCGGGTGATTAAGTAGTTCTCATTGCCTCTTTGCTGTTCGGTGACTGCTCCCTGGTGTAATTCCTATGTCCGAAAAGGAAGCGGCATTTTAACGGTGTGCTGAACAGAGGTTTGAATCATTCCAGCTGGCTGCTTATTCCGTAAAGGACTGTGTGTGTATAAATAAAATGTGACTGTTCCAAAGGAATCCAGCGGACAGGGAGCAGAGCAGAAGGAGTCTTCCCGGGATACTATTCAAGCAGTGGGTATGATATTTGCAAGAAAAAGGACAACTCCTGCCTTGCCGGGAACTGGATGAAGACGTCTCAACACCAGACTCTCCTTTCCCCTCATGGACCGTTACTTGAAAATAAATTATCTCTGGGTAAGTTGCGCCATACTTTGCACAGAGCATGGGCTTCAGATGAGTTTTGTGTGTATTTACTTGTAAACATATGGTGTGCATGTGTACATATGGAATAACTGTATGTATATACATAATTTTGTAGTATATATGAAGCCTGGTGGAATGGAGGAAATCGCCAAAAAAACACCCACTATTCACAAAATCTAACGTGGGGAAACTGGGGAGAAGAACCAAACAAACCCAAATGCTTTTCAGTCAGGTTTCAAAGCTGAAGTATTCCGATCCACTAGGCATAACTGTGGCGATTGCTGATGGATGTCTGTCTCGAGGTTAGAAGGGTAGAATAAGTTAGCAGCAAATTAGAAAACGGTGGGAAGTGGGATGGGAGGAAGGAAGTTGAGAATCTTAGTCTGGACTTGCACTTCATGCTCTTTGCCCCGCACTTTTCGACAGAAGAGACTACTATTAAAAGCCTGGCAAGGAAGGCAGATCAAAAGGTTATGATTATCTGGGATGGTCCTTAAACTGAACCATTTAAAGCTCTTCCCTTGATAACTAATCTGTGAGGAAGGCAGCCCAGGCAAATTTGTTCTGTTCCACTGATTTTGTAGTTGAACAACATCTGTCCGGGACATTTAAGAGAGACTGATTGTTCTGCGTTTGCGACTACCAATTGCTTAAGTATGGGAGAAAACGGGGGCCGGGGGCGGGAGTGCAATGAGACTGGAAGAGAAAGTGCCTTCTGCTCTAGAGTTACAGCAAGAAAAACAGGGCATCCTAGCTGCTTTATCTTCTGGCTCCCAGTCACACTGCTGCCAGGAAGAAGTACTCAAAACAGAGCCATTCCTAGAAGTGATTCATACTCTTCACATAAGCCAGAAGTGAAAGCAGCTACAGCCACTTGTGTTATATGTTTCCCATACAACCTGCTTCTATACCCCTTAATATACACTGCCTTAGAAGTGTAGAGTCCAAGCAAAGTAATATTTTATTCCTGGATCCTGCTGCTCATGCAGTCTGCGCCTGTGTATGTTTACTTAGAAGTAAATGTTGAATGGTGCTTGTTCCCAGGTAAGTGGACACAGGACTGCAGCCTTAGAACTGTCCTCTTTCAAAGACTACTTAGGAAGAAATTAATTCACAGCAGAAGATCCTGGACTCTCCAAAAGCTATACACAGAGGAAACTTTTGAATCAGGAAGACTTGTATTCAAGTCATCTGTTCAGGGCAGTGTGTAAAGCTGCCCAGGACCAATGTGTTACTTGAAAGCAGTTTCACTGACATTAATGGAGCTCTGGTAGAGTAAAGGGGCTGATATAAGCCAAAGTATCATGGAAGACAAGGGAAAAGTTTTGCTTGCAAATTTTCTAAATGTTGTCAGAGAAACTGTCTATTTCACAAGCTGAGCTCTCTGCAGAAATGTTAAAAGTTATCCGTCACTCTTTAAGCTTAGGGCTTCTTTGATTATCAGCACATGTGTAATGTCTTGTAGTCTCCAGAAAGTCAAATGTTCACAATTCAGTGACAACCTGGCACAGGGTGAGGGCTTTCTATAATGCTACTGAATAGTTCTCATCTGTCCCATCAGTTTGACAGAATAAAACAAAGCCTGTGAATTAGTTTTAAATATAAATAGCAATGGCTGAGTCACAGACCACTTGCTTGTCATTAACTTTGATTTCCCTCTCTACATATTTGTATATAGAGAGGGAAATCAGAGTTAATGACAAGCAAGCGGTCTGTATATAAGCTTTTTTAAAGCCCACAATTTCAACTCTGGCAACTTTGATCAGAACTTCATGGGTCTATAAACCCTGTGATAACTGCTGGGTGGTTTGACAATGGCAAGGCATCATTGTCATAATTGTCTCAGTGATCAAACTTATCATCATTCTCAGTGATCATGCCTTACTGCCGAAACGGGGCATTTCCTCCAGTTGCTAACCTTCAAAGTTGACCATACTAGATTTGTTACTCACAAGCAAAGCTGCTGTGAAATCTAGAAAGAAATGAAAAATAGCGTACTGCGCAGAACAAATTTGTTTCATAGGTTTAACACACCTACAAACACAAATTGCATATAATGTACATACCACACTTTTTAAAAAAGAAAGAAACTGCATGAAATAATCCCGCATTTTGAATATATATAGACAGGCTGAAAGTCTGGGCAACAGCACAAAGCACACGTATCTGAGAATATGTCTCCTTTAACTAGTGGGATTTACTTCCAAGTAGACATGCCTAGAATTGCTTTGTGCATGGAATGATTAGGAAAGTGTTCTTGGAAATATAGGCTTCCTTTGGCTGACATCCAATATTCCTAAAATAATTTTCCTTTCCAGGTCAATTATAACTTAACTTCTCAAAAGTTGTCTGACAGGATGAGAAATTCAACTCAGCAAATGTTTCCAACATTACAGAGATGTCAAATCTAATGATAGCTTTCGGATTTGTCTTCTCCCTGGAATTATATTTTGAAATAGAGTTAAAAATTCAAGCAAAAACACTTATAGGAACACATATAAAAATAAAATGAGGTCAATGAAGGAATAAATAAGTCCCCTGGTTGCAATCCTTAACATATCATGCTCCTGGGATAGCTACAGGGCAAGAGCATACCCTACAGTGCCATCCTAAACCATCTACTCAGAATTAAATTCTGCTAAATTCAGTGGGGCTTATTCCAGTGTTAGTGGGTTAGGATTGCAGCCTAAGAAACAGAGTATTGCAAAGGCTTAGTGAGCATGTTCTTTCTGACCTAAAATGAATATTTTCTAACAGCAAGTATTTACCATACCTGGTAGGTAAATTATTGACAGAGTTAGGTCAGAATCTCAGTTCCACCTGCGATTCAAGTGGCTCTCAGCAATTTGATGCTTCACTTCTCAATCCCACTTCCACAAACTGGGAGGAGGAGAACTTTTGTCCCCCGATTTGCATGAAAATCTAGTGATCTGGTGATTACTTAAATTAGTCTACAACAGTATGAATTGTCATTTAATAACCTTTTCTAAAGCAATAGATTCAAGGACTGAAATACAATCATATTTACTAGGGATATAATATTTGAATACCTAACATTTGGTGGGCTGCTTCACATATTATCATTTTCCTACATGGAAATAATCTCTTATGTAGGGAAATGCAAGCTAACTGCAATATAGGAAGTATGTCATGAATAATTTTTTAGGCTGCCAGTACAGGGATTAGGTGGCTAATGCTGCTAGACTTTATACACACACACACACACACACACACACACACACACACATCTATATTTGCGTAGGTACCTGTAGGTAAGTAGATGGATGGATAGATAACAGAGCCCTGGGCTCCTGCTGGGTAACACAGCAGAGAGCTGAACTCCTGGGTAGCTCATTGATGCCTGGGCCATCATCTCTGATTTCCAAGTTCTGCAGAACCTCAGCTAAGAAAATGAGAATGTTAGTATCTGGCTGTGAGCCAGACTAGGCAGGTATGGCTGTTGAGAAGAATGTTTTCTGGGTTGAATTTCATTAAAACATTATGTAAAAGCACACTATTGTACCTTAGCTTTGTCTTGGAAAAGTTTCCATTTCATATTGGCAAGCGTTCCTTTTCTCCTAATGAGAAGCTAGTGTAGCTGTACTTAATAATAATTTTAAATTCCTCCTCCTATACAGTACATTGTGAAAGACATGCAGAAGAGTGTTATATCCATTTTTTAAAAAGGAAGCGCAAATGTCCTTTAATATCATTTTATAAGTGAATGGAGTTTAACCTATAAAAATGAGTGGTGTAAAAAAAGGAATATCATGCATATTAACCCAAAATCTGAGCAATTGTTAAAATACATGACTGCAGGCGATGTGTGTTAAATTGTGCCTTAGTTTGGCAAAACATTAATCTAGCACGTAAAGGGTGGTATTCAACTTAGTTTTACTCAGAGAAGACCCATTGAAATGAACGACCATAACTCAGTGGTTCATTCATTTCAGTAAGTCTGCTCTGAGTAACACTGAGTTGAATGCCACCCAATATGTAAAGTTAGTCTTCCTTGGGAGTTTGCTAAGAGAACAGATGTTTACCTGTGGGCATATCCATGCAGGATCATCCTGTACCTTCGCTTGTTTGGTCTGATGTGGTTATGTGCTGGCAATTGTTCTCTCACATTTCAGTTCACCTGCATTCTCACTTGCTTGTCTTTGGCAAGGTGGTACCTCTCAGCCACACCTGACCCATCCTCTATCCATTATATACATGTTTATTATCTGTAACATGGACTTGATCATACTGACCTGCCTTACAGAATGGCTCCAAGTATTTCTGGAGCATATAAAGAAAGTCCTAGTGAAATGGCTGGGCACAGTGTGTATAAAGGGCCTGTTTGCGTGTTCAGACCCAGAGACCTCCCCCCTAAAGAAACACATATTTGACTCAAATTTTAGTTTTGATTTTTGGCAGAATTTAGGCCGCAACTTTATTGATTACAGAAAGTGAGTGGTTGCATAGGCTATGGTTCGACTAGCTCCCTGCACCCTTGCAGGCAGCGCTGACCCAGAGCTCAATCATAGGTCAGCCAAGGGTGAACACCTGAGGTAGGCGGAAAGCCCAGGAACAGACTATGTCCACTCCCCAAATGCTCCCCTGGACTCAGGCACAGGCACAACCCCCTCTCGGGGCTTGACCAAACCAAGTTGAGTCCCTGGATTCCTTTAACGGAATACCCTTCACATAGGGATGGCGAGACCGCTCCCCCATCCCTACCACCTGAACCAGTGCCTATCTGCAACCTTACAAGTTGTGATGATTTGCTACACGGCAGGCGAAACCCAAATGGCAACAGCCAATCAGCCAAGTGGGGAAATTCCTGCCGTGCCCCTGTCCCAACGACAGACGACACATGACGGCATAGCAAGGTCAATCGCAAAATACCCTAAATACAGGAAGAGGTGGGCTCCGATGCACGAGCTGAAAGAGGAAGCTCTGGGTCACGTGCGTAGGCATATATAGGTCCTTCAATCCATTTAGACTGCACCCCATTGGCCAAATTAAACCCAGCAACGAGGGACCTACCAATCGGGTGTTGCGGCTGTCCAATATACCCACCCACAACCCAGGAGGTCAGTTGCAGGTCTCACTATGTTGCAAGACTCCACAGGATCCTCTGTTTGCAGAGATGCAGTACTTGTGCAGTGTGCACTGAAGTGTAGGTGGGTTCCCACAAAGCAAGATGCATTGACAACAGCAAGAACCTTTATTGAACTGGGCAAAAGGGGCAAAGCAACTGTTTATATACATTTCTGAAGGCCTGGGCCACTTCCCACTATCAATGGGATTTGCTGTCTAAATTCCCACGCTGCGAATCATAACTCAGAGTTTAAGGGCCAATGGCAATGGCCCAAATCCTGAAATGTTCTGTGATTGGATATCATGTCTCGAATCAAAACACAGAGGCTCAGAATCCTGAGTCCAGACTCAAGCTCAGGCAAACACAGACCACTGAATACATAACATGCAGAGACTCTCACATACATCCCAAAGGATCCTAGTGAGTGAGTGCTGGACCACTCAATAACATGAACGGAACAAGCCCTCACCACAAAATTGCCTCCCCCCCCCCATTCCCAAGGAGCATATGGCAACAATGCAGTTTTACAGGAGTCAGGAAAGGAATGCAGGGCTGCCTGATTTCTGCCTCATGTGACATAAGATATTGAATCAAAGCTTCTCCTCTCTGCCTAACTAGTCTCATTCTCTGTTCTGTTTCATGCTCACAATGGTGTGTGCTTGAATATTGGGTCATGCATAAAGCAGTATCTTGGAAAAGGAGGTACCATATTGCATTGGGCTTTGTGCAAATATCCCTCCATGTGGAACATGCTGTCTGCAGTGACCCTAACGTTCCCCTAATGTGCTATTTGTATTTGCTGTGATGCTTTAGGGCCAATGACCAGAGCCCCATTTGACAGAATGAGCAGAAGGACCTTCAAAAACTGCACGGATGGCATACCACACTTTGAAGTATTCACATTTCAATTTAAATAGGTGGGGATCAAGCCATCCAGGGTAGATTCACATTATGCATTTAAAGCATATTCAACATTTAAAGCCCATAACGTCCACAAAGGATCTTGGGTATGGTCGTTTTCCCTTCACAAAACAGCCATTTCCAGCAACCTTGACAAACGACAGTTCCCAGCATTCTTTGGGGAAAGTCATGTGCTTTTAATGTGTGTTGAACATCCTCTTAATGTACAGTGTGGATCTGCCCTTAGTCCAGTGTCTAAAACTACCTACCTGCACCACTGAACATTTTAGAAGGCTTGGCAGGTTTTCCCATGAGTGCATCAAAAAGCAAAAGAATAACTTTTTCTTTTCCTGATCATATTTTGCCATCTCCTCGACCCCATCTCAATATGACTAACGGTGAGCGGTGGTTACATCTACAGTTTTCTTGTCTTGTTAAAAATGGTCCCAAAGTGTTCCTGACTATTAATATTATATGACGCCAAATTCGTCTGAATAGCCTGAGGGCCATCTTCAGGGTGTTCCACCTGAGGCTGCTTCCCATTCTGCCTTTCTTGCAGCACATCATTAGAGATGGCTCAGATCCAGAGATTTTTGAGACCAACCTGTTTCTTCTCCACTTCCTGAGAAAAAGGCTGGACGTAGAAAGCAGAACCTAAGTTGGGAAGTGAAAGGGTACAGAAAGACACAATGGGAAAATACGGTAGGTCAACAAGCATTCCAAGTTCAGGAAATAGTAGATGGTCATGAAAACACCTCCTTCTCTGAACTGTAAATCTGGAGAAGACGGTTTTTTACCCATCTTTTTAAGGGGAGCTGATGTACAGGTTGTTTTCAGAAGAGGTATTGGCTGCTCTGGGAGTCTTCTTTCTGTCAACCTTCCTTATGAATGCACAAGTATACATAACATAATATGTGAATTAGACACGTGTGGATTCTGTCTGTAGCATTTTTTCAAGCTCCCATGATCACAGAAATCTTTGTCAGTGGTTGTTGTTGTTGTTGTTTAGTCGTTTAGTCGTGTCCGACTCTTCATGACCCCATGGACCAGAGCACGCCAGGCACTTCTGTCCTCCACTGCCTCCCGCAGTTTGGTCAAACTCATGCTGGTAGCTTCAAGAACACCACCCAACCATCTCGTCCTCTGCCGTCCCCTTCTCCTTGTGCCCTCCATCTTTCCCAACATCAGGGTCTTTTCCAGGGAGTCTTCTCTTCTCATGAGGTGGCCAAAGTACTGGAGCCTCAGCTTCATGATCTGTCCTTCCAGTGAGCACTCAGGGCTAATTTCCTTAAGAATGGATGCGTTTGATCTTCTTGCAGTCCATGGGATTCTCAAGAGTCTCCTCCAGCACCATAATTCAAAGGCATCAATTATTCGGCAATCAGCCTTCTTTATGGTTGTCAGTGGTACACCAGCTATATTCATGTGTATATTCCAGTTCACGTAGAATAAGGGTGGGGAACATTTTTTACTCAGGATTTCTGACAGGGCTCTCTCCTAGCCCTTCCTGGAGATGCTAAGGGTTGAACTTGGGACGTTCTGCATGCACAGCAGATGCTTTACCACTGAGCTACAACCCTTTCCATAGGCTGTCCCTCTCTGCTTCTTCACATTTTCAGTGGTGCCATCAGGGCTAAACTTTGGGACAGGCGTCCAGGGCCCCACTTAGCAGAACAAGCAGAAAAGTTCATAATGCAGAAGATTGTGCAGCAATAAAACTGCTCGTGTGGTTGGGGGACTGTGGATGGGGGACTGTGTGTTGAGATTCCTGCATTGCAGGGGTTTGGACTAGATGACCATTGGGGTTCCTTCCAACTCTATGATTCTTTTATTCTAAGTTTTAATATAGGATCGTCTGTACCATATTTGTGTTGCTAGTGATGTTTAGGAATGCAGTTTCAGCCTGATGAACACTGACAGTTTGGCAGATGTTAGCGGCACTAAGATGAAGATGCAACATGTAAGCCTTACTGGGCTCTGCTCTGCTCACAAGTTCCAGCCCCCATTCCTTGTGAGATAATAGCTGGAATAGAGGGAAGGCTACTCTGACAATGTGGTGTACTTTTACCTTTGAATCTTGGGGCATTCAGGGCTGCTCAGTAGGAACCAACTTCAGCAAGTGGGGGGAAGGAAGGCTGTGCAATATACATGCTTTGTTTGCATGCAGTTTAGTGTTCATAATACAGATTGACCTGTGTGTTGCGGCTAGGGAAATCGGTCTAAAGTGCAAAGCGACAAGTGAAGTGTTGTTTTTGCAGTTTTCACAAATCCTGATAGACAAGGAGATGGAGAACAAAGCATCAGCTCTTGAATGCCACGGAATGTGTGAAGGAGAACATTTGGCATCCTTTAATAACACCCAAGAGTGTGCTGGGAAATGCAGCAGCCCAACACAATGTTGACGTACTCAGAATGCCTCTATCATTCAAGGAGTTGGAAATGTAATAGGGTGTGGTATGTGCACAAACATTGACAGCAGGAGTGTGCAGTAACCAGAAGCCTAATAGCCCATGGCCCAAAGCACAGGTTAGCAAGTGGGGATGAGGCATCCTGACTTGCATTGGCAAGATGTATCTTGTCCTGGAGGGGTAATTTAGCCATATGTCTGAGCCTCTTCTCAGCCAGTTCTCTGCAGCAAGCATTTCTTTTTAGCCCCTGGGGGACAAATACACATTCTGCTTAGTTAATTAAAAGACAGAATCCCGCATGCGAGAAACACATAGAACCCTAAAGATGGAGCAGGGCATGCAGGGCAGGACATCTCTTCCAACTCAGTGTAGGAAACCCATATGCCAAAGATGTGGCTATCTTCCCTCCACCCCTCTGCTTGATGCACCTCCTAATGTTCAACTGAAATTGACCTTCCTATAGTTTGAGCCCTGTTGGTGTTTAGAGTTAACATGCGGCTTGGAAGCTTCACTGAATCCCAGCTGGAGGAGCACATTTTATCCATGGATATAATCACAATGAGATTCTGGATTTGAAAAATAAGACAGAAAAATGTATTCAGGAAAATACATAGTTGATAGGAAAGATATTAGTTCTGTCTAACTAAGGGGGGGGGGTACAAAGAGCTATGATTGCTTTGGTGTCTCTTCTTCCAAGGTGAGGATGAAGAGGAAGCAGGAAATGAGGTCAGCAGCACTGATGGTGTCACTGAAGGAAGGTCAATAGGTCTGCACAACTAGGACAGTCTAGGAAGGTTAGATGTTTCTCTCTCTGTACCCTTCTCATAAAGGTATGTCAGCCTACAGCCTGACTTGCACCCCAGCACTTCAATTGCACCCTTGGGATTAGTTGTTTTCCACAGCTTCGCTGCCCTCCAGTGAACGTGTTCCAATCTACCAATCCAGAAGTGGTTCACCCAGTAGGGTGGAGCTGCAGTTCTAGCTTCCCAGCAGCAGTGTTGCTGTTGTTTATGGGGAGAGATTAAGGGAAGGGCCAGTCATCAGCGAGGTCAGGGCTGTGCAGGTGCAGCAGTGTGAATGCTGGATTGGCTCCACTGGTGCATCTCCACCATCTTGAACTTGCTTCTGGGTTGCCCCTCCTACTGCTGAGAAGCCAGCATTGTGGCCTCACCCCTGCTGCTGTCTACATCCTTAAAATGTGATGTCTGAAACTGTACACAGTACTCTAGATGTGGCGTACTGTGAGGAATAGTGAGGAATAAAGCAGCATTATTACTTTGTGCAACTTGGAAACCAGGCTAGAGTTAAATGGATAAGTAAATAAACAGGCTAATGTGCCCTGCTTGATTTCTGATATAGATATTGTTGTTCTGTAGTTGTGAACAATTCCCCACCTCCCACCCATTTTTTTGATTGCCTGGTTTTGAAATTAGCAACCGGATGCACAAAACCCCCATTCATTTTAGTGAAACAAACTCTTCTGCAAACTAGCTGGAGAGGAATAAAACAAAGGCTGAATTGTCCATCCAGGTGCTGATGTCCACTAACATCACATTGCTCTTAATCCATTGATTGACATAACTGCTTTGTGGGGGAGACTGGGGGGGGGGGAGGATGAAGAACTCCACATATGGAGAAGTTGTTTGGAAAAGCCCAAATATCCAGAAAATGTCTCTTTGGATCCTAGCCTGTGTATATTGAAGTAAAGTTGCCAAATTTCTGCAGATTCCCTCTTTCCTGCTACGTTTCCCCCATATAAGTTACAGAGCAAGAACCGTAAGAGGTGGGAGTTTTAGGCTTTGCTGTCTGTTGAGCCTGGCAAATCTTAAATTCAGTGCTCTACATTTCCACATCAGTTTGCATTTAAAAAAAAACCATGAAAACTCATCAGCATTTTAGTGTGAATTTATCGCAATATGCACATTTTTGCAGACTAATTTCCTCTCTTATAATGCATTACTTTACGTTCTTTCCATCAGTATATACATGTTGATGCACAATTCACCCTAGTATATTCATGTTTGTACACTTGGTTGCAGAACTGCATTGCAAAATTTGGAGAAGTGCAAATTTTGAAGAATGGCTGGGTTTTGGTTCCTGTTTTGTTTTAGAACATGCAAATTTGGTCAGTTCACCTTTAAATGCAAACGGAATCAATTTTTCCCTCCATCCCTAGTGTAAATTCACATATAACAGCAACAGGAAACCTGTGACCCTCTAGATTTGTTGGACTTCAACTCCCACAATCCCAGCAGGTATATAATTAGAGGTGTCTAACATGGTGTGCACTACAACTCCCATCATGCTAGGAGTAAGGACTGATTGGAGTCTAACAACATCTGAAGGGCCACCCTGACATAAAAAGTCTATGTCACCTCAAAGCATCTGCTGATGGGATGGTGGTGGCTGCAGATTTTTGGCAGTGTGGTGCCAGTGGGGTCTTCAGTGGAGTCGCCCTCCCTACAATGGAGTAGGGTTGCCGCTTGCAGAATATCCCTGGATCCATCACTATCATTGGTGATCCAAGTGGTCCCTGTAGTGTAGAGTGCCTTTAAAAAGGCCACAATCAGCATGTGGGTAACCTAGTTTTAATTATCTGTGTTCAGAAAACCTTCTGGTTAGAGTACTGCAATGTATTATATGTGGGCCTGTCCAGAAACATCTGTCAGTACAGAATTCTGCAAACAGATTGCTAATGAGGACTAGCAGTTCAGACTTACAGCAGCAGTTCTGGCATGACTGCACTGGCTTCTAATACATTTGGGGCACAATTCAAAGTGCTGGATTTGACTTACAAGCCCATACCTTCTGGAACATTTCTCTCTGCATAAACCTGTCTGGACCCTTAGGAAATCATTGGTGGCCATCCTCCAGCAAAAGTACAGTGAGTGGCTATAAGACAGAGGACACCTTAATAGTGGGCCCGCAATTATGGAGCATTCTCTTCAGGGATGCTGCCTTTCATAAACATGGTCCTCTTTTCAGCACCAGTCCTTGACTGCCAAGCATTTGGTTGGTGATGTTTTTTCATCTGCTGGGTTGTTTTTAATAGTGGGTCATACATCATGCATTTATGTGAGAAGCTGGATGTTTTAACTTTTTGGATATTTATGTATCACTGCCTTTGAATTGTCACTTTGAGTATTACTGTAAGTTTACTTTGGTAAACCTCCTTGGGTTTGAGGCAATAAATAAATAAAGGGATTTTTTTTTTTTTAAGGTGGAAAAAGAACAGTGCGTTTATTGTACCTTCTCGTTTCCATCACATAGCGCCACAAAAGAATTCTTCATATA